AGTTATGTGCAAAATAACGGGCGTCGAAGCTTAGTATCGCGGTTCCAATGGCAAATATTCTTAAACTTTCGAGCTAAATCAAGCAAGACATTGTGTTTTGAAAATCTGCCCCAAGGCAGGGTGGAGCCTTGGTCTAGAGTCCCTGAATGGAGTCGCACAGTCATCAGCAATCAGCCCTCCTTGACACTAGCTTGGGGCAACAAACAAGCGAGAAATAGCCAGTATTCCACGTCCATATCGGTATTTATCTACAATTATCTCCCGTCTATCACTATGTCACGATCTACAAGAGCTCTAAGCAAAAACTATAGGACAAAACCTGGGTTTTCTGTCACTGACATTCTATTTTGTGTGAATAGATACAGACTTCGACTTAACGTTCCATGACGAAAATGGATTAAGTCGAGTAGGAAAGGCAGATACGTATCGGGAGAAGATACTGCATTAGCTGTAACATACTTGGATTAGAATACGTGGGAGGACTGGAAAAACTTGACAGGGCAGCAATGATGTGATGCAGTCCTTAACTCAATCTGCTGAAAACTCCGCCGAGCATCATATTTAATCATTCGGACAAAACGGGCATGTTAAAAACAACTTGCGAGAGGGAAATAGAGCAAAAAATAGAACGAGAAGACGTGCCTTCGGATAAAGCGCGTGCTCGGGCCTCTGAGGTGCTCTGTCGGTCATTGGCTTCAGAAAGGAGAGTAGACATTTCAGTTTGCCGTTTCTCAAAATCCTCCTGCAGCCTTGCCAAGTGCGCGGCGACTGATTCCTGAAGGTCTCTCTTGGCCGCCTCCTCCATCTCTGATATGCGTGACTGGGCTTTCTTTAGATGAAATTCTGTACACAGAGAGATAGTCGATGATGAAAGTGATTAACTTACCGCTAGACTTACACGATTCGAGTTCAGCCTGAACTTCTTTCAGCATATCTCGCAGCTTCATGTTCTCCATCTGAAGGTCTGTGGACTTTGTAACCCTTTCGCTTATGGACTGAGCTTCTGTGAGTGCAAGAGATGGATCTGGAGAGGTCAGCGAAATGCACAAGAACCGTATGCCTACCTGGCAGAACTGCAACTCGGCGATAGATTTGGACAAAAGTATCTTCAATCTTTTGACTTCTCACAGTCAGATCATCAACCTCTGCCTGAAAACCCTTCAATAGTGGGGCAGCCGCATTGCGCAACTCCTATAAAAGGCAAATATAGACAGTATTCACGTCACCCATATGTCATTCAATCATGATCTCGAGAGACTGTGCTTGCGGAAGCCGTAACTAAGTCAGTAGAGTTCTAGTAACTGCAACAAAAAGTAAAGGGACCTGGACGTACCTCCTCCCTACAACATTAGGACCAGCCCTGATTGTGGTGGCGCTCAGATTACACCCATTCTCACCGTATAACCACCACAAATTGGTGACAACTCCGACGTGATCGAAGCGCCGCCTCCAGACGTGGCTGAACTCAACCGCCACACATTTCCCACTCGACTTCACCCTGCTGTCTTTCCTGTGCCACTTATCGTGCCCATAGATAGGAAAACCCAGTTGCCGACACCCTGTCGCGATTAGAGATGAATGTTACGAACAAACTCCGGCCAATCAAGTCCAGGTCAAGCCTTAGTCAACCTGTGCAGATCAGACCTCCAAATGTGTTGCCAGCTGAACGTCTAACATTTGTCCGAGACATTCTTCCGCCCATTACCGACAAAACCATCATTCGTGAGTTACTTTCATACACTCAACATGCTACCGTTTATAGAGCGATGAATTTTCCCGCTTTCAACACTGTATTTTATCCCAATATTTGTGTGTGGATGACAGTGAGCCTATTTCACTGATGCATTCGTCCGACTCAGCACTCACTGGGATGCCTTGCGTCCGAAATGTTCTTTCGTCTCATACCAACGTGCCAGTTCACGGGCACACGTTGACGAGACCACGCCAGCACACCCAGGGTTGAGGCCTCAACTGCACCTCTGTACAGGTCGCAGCATCCGCATCATACGCCGTCCGATCTACTCCTGTCATCATCGACACACGCTCTCAAACCCGCATGTGCACTGGATAATTTCACAAATATCATCGCCTGCCTCACGATCGACACCATCGCATCGTTCTGTGTCTGGTGGGGAGCTGTGGCGGGCAACCATCATAGCCGGTCTGGCGCCATTGCTCAAGGCCTCGCTGCCTCAAAGTCGTCCACCCCCTTGTAGTGAGCCGTTCCAGACGCACCGACCGGAAGTCACGCGACCGACAGCGCGGGCACACCTGCGGCCGCACAACTGCAGCTGCCTATGCGGCCACTGGGAAGTATCTCCCCCCTGCAACCACAACCTAAGCCACTGGGACACCACCCCTCGGCAAATGCAACACACACCGATTGAAGACCAATTGAGCCTGGCCCACGAGCCTACAAAAGCGGCTGCCACCACTGTCTCAGGGACTCTCAGGCATGACTGGACGCAGTCAACACCAGCCTTAGCTTCGCCAGTGGCCAGCGCCGCCTGAGAGGACAACTCCGGCTTCTGTGCACAATAAACCCCTCATTCCGGTGCCTTCCGTCTTCTTCTAATCTGAGATTTGACTCGCAAACTGTAGTCCACAAACTACGCACATTCTCACTGCTGTGCCGCTACACATCAAAGCAGTGTTCGCAGATGACTAGTAAACGTACTACTCGAAACGTCAGAACAAAGACGAACCTCCCTGGGTGGACGTTTCTCCTTCCTTTGGCATGCCACTTAAAATTTTACTTTTACTACGATTAAAGTAGGATTTCTTCGCATTTCTGCCAAATCTGTAAACTATTGGTGCTGGTCGTTGACCACTCAGTGTTGACTTTACTGACGAAATACACGTTCTAGTTAACAGAAGGCCTGAAAAGTAATTAGCCACGCCGCACCCGTTTCTGTAGGCATTTTTACACCGCACGTGAACAGGTATGGCTCAAGGAAGTCAAAAAACGTCCACTGGGATGGAAATCACTCCAAAAGTACGATTAGCATGTAAAAATGACAAAATTCCTATCTAGCACGCGTCCACTTTAAATCACGAATTTCAGAACTGCTAAGCAAATTGCGGTATTGGCGTTCTGCTACCTTCTTGCAAATTAGGCAAGGGTCAAAAATAAGGGCGCAAGTCTGTCGAATGAACGAGATTAAGCCACGCCTACACAATTTTACGCAATTGAAGACTTAAGGTTCCCTTCCTCCTGATCCCATAAGTCTCAATCTTAAAGTCAAACAAACATGCAAGATGTGTGGTTGACTACACAACCTTTTAAATTTAGGTTCCTCGAAAAAAACACGACCAGTAACGGACAAAAAAGCCCCCCGGCCGCAGAGTCAACGTTCCTTTTTAAGTCCGATTAACGAAGCCTTTAGATTTTTGTCTACACTACAACAGGTTATGATAGATATGCGAAGCATAGACAGAAATGATCGCTCTAGTAGTCTTTGATATACCAAACCCATGTCGATGTCGTGGCAACATAAAACATCGCCAATATTTTACTAAGGTAAGGCAGCTATGATAGTACCTGTGGGGCAGAATTACGAAAGTTGACTATTAGTTTGACCAAATTTTTCCGAGAACAGCGACTTTGCTCCTGCACGCCGGGTATGGACAAAGCCACAGACTCCAGCTCTTCCTAAACATGTCAAGCTTAACGTAGAATATCGAACTTGAAATTTTGAGAAGTTGAACTGATTCCATGACTCATGGGTTGAATTAATTACAGAGAGCATCTGTGTGCTCTTTTGGGCCTAATATGTCCTGGGTGACATTGATCGCGCTATCATCATCAACGCCTCTAAGGAGGCATGACCCTACTGGGTTAAACATGTAGAGATATCAAAGGTGCAAAATCCTGAATCTATGAGAGCAGGCTTTTTTTTGAAAATATCTCTAGTTAGTTACTGAACCAAAATATTTTTTAAACTCTTAGTGAGTGGGTGTTTGTTCCAACGATATTTTGTTATCACCCCGTGTCTTCCGCCTCGTGTCCGTGGCTGTATTGGGAAGATTTTTCAAAATATCCGTGTCCCACTTTTTCCCCTGAAGTCCTGCCCTATTCACATAGTGCCCGTTTAAATATGTATTTTGTGGGAGCAGCGTTATTTGATGCTTGAAGTATCATTATGATTGCCTCTATCCCTAAAGATCTAGAGATTTTTCTCGTAAAAATTTCCTGCCGGTAATTCTGAAGCCCACCGAACGAATTCCCGTGGAAGTTTAACTTTATTCTCCCCTATTTTCATGGACTCTACGGTTTGCTTATGAGGTTAGGCACAGCACCTTCGACGCCGTCGCTCATGTGGTTCACAGAAGTTTAAGAGAATTTGCATCGGTTCCCGTGAGCACACATGTGCATTTCCTGACTATCCTTCTGCCTCCTATATTGTATCTTGCCACCTCTTTAGGAAAGTGTCTGGGTGCAACTCTTCCGACTGGACTGCTTTCTGGACTGCATATTATTTTGGATTCCACACCCCCGTTGGGCAGTCCGGAAGTCGGAAATCTACATTTCTTCCTAATAATTGTGGAGTGCATCAAGGTTTTATTTTATTCTCCCTCTCTTTTTGCTTCTCAACAATGATCTAAGATCATCAAATGTTCTTTTACCTGTTAAGGACTCTGACAGAATGGCTGTTAGCTACCCTATTCCAAGTAAGACTCATGCGCACTTTCTGAATGAAGCCATGGCTCATAGTTCCACATGATTGTTGGAAAATCACATTCTGCATGATAATCAGAATTTAAATCAGTGTGCTTCTAGTCAGCGACCGCCTTCTATTTCGGAATTCCTTGACAATCTTCTCAGTGGAGCATCATCTTTCCGTTTCTGCATGTCACCCTCTCCTCAAGTCGGCCATTGTCCATCTGTGTCGACGCTTTTTTGGTAAAAATATTAAGATTTTCGTCGCAATAGACGTTTGCGTCCACACCATGTTCGCCAGTCCTTAATCTAGCGATTAATGATTTAGTGATATAGTAGTATGTTTTGGGTAATAGACACCGCTCTTGATGACACTCTTGGAAAGGCATATATTGATACGTAAGTAAAGATGTCACCGAAATGTTGTCCGTAACACGTACATTTACAAAATGTGTAACGATGTGAAGCTGCAACCTGAGCACCCATAGTTTTTGAAGCATTTGGACCGAGGCCCAGATGGTCCTTATCGCGTGCAAATATATACAGTCAACATAAGCTATAGAAAGTTGTGTGGTTTACAGGAACAATTTGCATCAAACGTGCAGGGAATGAGATCAGGAAGTAAGGTCTATGGCTAGCCGTAGATAATTCTGGAGTGAGAGTCGTCATCGCCGTTCATCAAAAATCATACGATTAAACTGCCTTTTGAATACAACCATGGTGCCAGATTTTAGTATTTCTCTTGGAAGTGATTTCTACGGCTAAATACATGATGATTAAACGAGAATTCCCATTGGTCTGGGCGCATACGCCCCCGTTTGACATTCCCGGGCGACCGCGCATGTGACTCATGTTTGTAAACTCAACAAAATCTTCAGATTAAAGCGAACAGTCATGCCAGAGAATAATGCGGAATGCCTACCGCAAGTCGTACCGCATTTTTCTACAGGATAGCGGAAACAAACTGAGATGCATCAGTCTTTCTGGATAAGACTGAGTACTAAGACCGTCCACCAGTTTTGTCGCTTGTCGTTGCACCTGCTCGATGGGGTCACAGTCTTTCTTGCAGGGCATTAAAGCAGCCTGCGTTCTGCCTCTCATTCTTTATCGTTAAACTGTTTTTTCCTGGTTTGTACTCAATATAAGGCGTATCTCACTAGCTATCATTTTCTTTCGGTATTTAATATGCATTTCCAGTTGATGGAGTAATACAACGACAGTTTACAGCGTCCGAGGAATTTGCCAGTCGAATCCTGGATGGTGTTGTATATACCTTACACGCTGTTACAGTTGACGCAAAGTCTTCCCGCTCCACGTGCGATGGCTACCGGTATCTCTCCTGTCGCATGTGCGCATATTAACGACCTCTGTTAACATTTCTTGCATGATATTTGGCGTTTTTGTTTTACCTACCTCCTACGACGTCAAGTTTATTGTCCTGGGTCCGGAGTAAAAGGACACTTTCCCTAAACGGCCTATGGGAGACTTACATCGAAGCAACGAAATGGAGTCTTTGGCAGAAATACAGAAAGCGGAAGTTATAGATCGGACAGCTAGCGGAGTGCGTTTCTGCTCATGCTGACTTTAACGGAAGAAAAGAGCAGTCAGAAGAGTGCAACGGACAACAATATTAATGTGGGTGTGGGAGAAAAACATAAAACGCATGCCTATGCGCGATGGCGGCAGTAGAACGAACATAATACAGAGCACAAGTAAATGATTCAAAATTATAGGCGTAAGGAAGCATACGAATATTCTGGGAAGCATCTCTATATTTCAAACTATGCAAAATACTTCAGAAACTAACCAGTAAGACCAAAAAGCGATCATGCATTGTCTGTATATCTACATGCCGAAATTGATAACGTCATCTGAACGTTTGCAAATGAAGTCATTACAGTTACTATCAGTGGTGATCCGTGTTGGTTGTGTCCAGTTTTTCGGTAATGACTCCATATGTAAGAATCGACGTACCATGACAATCGCTACAGTAGTACGAAGTGTAATCCTTAGTAAACTAATGTTTAAAACTGCGTCCGCTGTTTGATTTAAAGCTCGGTAAGCTAACAGAAGTCACTCATCCCCATTACTATGAACATTGTGGAGACAAACGGCTTGGGGACAGAACTCTTGGAGGCACCACTCACAAATGAGGTGGCTGTTGACGTGCAGGCCCCGACGCCTGTACTCTCCGATCTTCCTATACAGGTCTCTGCGATACACCGTGACAACGCACCTCCTATTCCAGTTTCAGAAGGCTTGCGGACTTGACGTTTGTTTCGAACACCATCAAAAGCCTTCATGAAATCAGTGAAAGTGACATGAACCTTCTGCATAATCCTCTTCCTCTTGCTGCTCCCCCTCATCTATCTCCTCCAGTGCATGAGTCCACTGTTCATTTTAAAGCACTAAATTTGAAAGGAAAGAACGATTTTGGCTGAAGCCGTTTTGGGACCCCGAGGGCAAGTTTTCCTCTTCAGGAACTTCACGGCCTATTTCTTATGTGTGATTGCCATTACTTTACAACAGATGTAGGTCAGACCGACGAGATGATAAGTGATGGACTCCGGTTCGATCCCCGTCCTCACAAATAGGGTATTTTCAGTATTTAATTCGGATGACGTTCTACCTTATTCAAATGACGAAGAGAAGTCGTGCACCAGTGTATTGAAGAATTCGTCCGCCAATTCAGCAACGTCATCGGTGTAATGTCCGGGTGAGATGACAGGGCTCATTTACGACTCCGAAGTCTTATTTTTACTACAGGCTCTGAGAAGTGCATAGATTTCATTACCGGCCAACATTTATAACAATGTGATTGTGAATATTCCACTCTGTCGTCTGCTGAGTACAGAATTAAGTGAAGTGGCTCAACTATTCTGCTTTATCGTCATTCCCAACTATTTATGTGACGTTATCATGTCTAAGTACAGCGAATGGGTCCTTGTTTTCAGTCAACGATTAATGTAGTGGTGCAAACTCACGGAGCTCCCATCGGTATGTTGAATAATTATGAATTCGTAGTTCCTTCGTGCCTGACGACCAGTAAAACTGGTCCAATACCTCCCCTGTCCTCTTTGAGAGGATCGTTAGACCTCCCCGTTTACTGAATGCCGGCCTAGACCTTCCGAATGGAGGAAGATAATGATTTCATTGGGCTGATGGATTTTTCAGGAAATATTTCATACTCAGCTAGACAAATATTAAACAATTCACTATGGTAAAAGTACGGGTGATAACAATTATCCAGCTGGTAGATTTCAGCTCGTATACTCATGTAAGCTTTCCGATAGAAACTCAAAATATATGCCTCGAAGACTTAGTTAATGTTCACTCATTCATTTCTGAGGAAGCTGAAAAACGAAACACACCTATATGGATTGATCGAGCACGACTTGTTCACCCTTTCCTGTTGGTTATGACGATGAAACATGCTACGAACATTCCGTATTGTTCAGAAAATGTCTGCTTGCTTAAACATGGGGACATTGTTGGGCTTGCTCATGCAAGCAACCTATACGACCACCCGTACAATGTTAGTCGCGAACGTACCGACCAACGTCAAAGCACCATTTACTTTGGTAAATTACGGTCTGGGCATTGAAATCATTCTCAGGCGAGCTTGTAACTGTAGACAAAATTTTCGTATTTAAGATAAAATTGGACAGTGTCCGTTCTAGTGAAAATGACTTTCACAGCATGATCACCCTTAGCCAGATTTGAAATCCGTCTTCTGTGACTCATTACTTCCGCACTGTACCTATGTACTAGGATATATTTAAATAATTCATTTTGGATCAACTATGAAAATGATGGCTCCTCGGTGGGTTTCGAACTCGTGACAACACGAATAAGGCTTGAGTACAGCCAATGCTCTAACTGCCTGAGCTATGAGGCCCAACGGGATGCCGTGAGCTTAATCGCACATAGGTCAAGTTACCCGCCAAACCTACTGAAATGTCCGGAATCCACGAAATCTGATGCAGTTGTCTAACTGCCCAAGCAGGGTCTTCATAAAAAATCCATCTAGAATCCACCAGATGACTACCATGCTCAAGTAATTAACAGGCGTTTTGGCAGATTTTAAATAATCAATTTTGACCCAACTGCCGTGTGTTCGAATTCCACAGAGGTTCCGAGTTTTTGTCAGTTGAGTCAAAACGAATTATTATAAATCTGCCAAAACACCTATTCATTTCTGGATAGGTCACAAAATTCCTATCTTTTCTACTGGCTGTAGGTCAGTGTAAAAGGGACAAATTGATATGTATGTTAAGAACAATGCCTTTTTCTGTGACCCTGAAATAGACATTAACACACGCACTGCATGCATTAGTTGGGCTGCTTTAAATCTGTGCGGGGTATTAACGAATCCCATGCATGCACGTAGCGAGCTCGAGGCGGAGACTTACACCATGTCAGTAACTGCGTCGAGTCTTATTACCAGTTGGTCAACAGGTCGCACTACCTACCTGTGTATAGAATAGGGAAGAACGCGTGAGGCCGATCCCGGGAAATCCCTTCCCATGTTAAATCAGCAATTCTTCACCATGATAAGTCCGACATGTTTAGAACGGAAATAATACACTCAAGGTCATGGCTTGGGTTTCCGACCAAAACTGTACCGAACAGCTACTTCGACAAATTTAGTGGGCAATTCAGGGTGGTAAACATACCCCGGTTACCACTTACATGTTTTACTTCAACCCCGTTCCCCAATAAATGTAGTGACGCAGCGACAATTTATGGAAAGCACATGTCTCTCCCCTAACTGGTCTTTTTAATAATATTTTCCGAGTACACCTATGGGCGATATCGAAGTACAACAATCTATATAACTTCAAACAGAGAATAAGCACAGTAAGAATGAATGAACAGGTTTTATCAAAGTTGAAAACGTACGATGACTTACGAATGAGCCGTAAAAGTAAACTTGATGCAAAAGCTCAGGGGCTATTTTGAATGTCAAGCCTTAAACTAAATGTTGATAGCATAGAAAGTAGGCTAGGAATGGGGATTTCAAAGAGATCAAACCACGAATTAAGGCGAGGTTAACCGCTCCAAACATAATGGTTGCAGGGGCAGTCTCAACGAACCTCGTAATAAATAAATTACATGCGGAGCCTTCACATCGAGCCGTTATTTCCATGTGGAACGGCGGGGTTAGCAGAAAGGAATTCGACGTGGAATAATGACATCAAAATGACATGGATGTTGCATTCGTAGGAGTCTGATTCGACTTCCAACAGTTCACTGTCTTGAATGCCGTTTCGAACACACGTCGGCGCTAATTTCTTGAATAACGCCTATAAGCTAGTGGTTGGTGTAAAGGGGTTGGGATGATGTACGGATTTATCTTGTGGGTAATTTTATGAGCGAAAACTGAATTCACCCCAATTTTACATGGCTTCAAAGTTATCGTGACAATAAAGCAGGCCCACGGGTCATAAAATAAATCCAGAAATGCAAATGTCCATGTGTCCTCCGAATTTCCAACTTTTTTTAACATCTTTGAATAAGTAGGGGGGTTTTCACCCCGTAACTACCCACTAGAGGCCCACTTAACCTTAACTATGCTGTATAAGGTTGAAAACGAGCACTCCTCTATACCTTCAGCCTAAATATCAAAGGGTCCCCCAGTGGCCATTCTATGGTGACGCAGTCAACATTCATTCAATTCAAAAACTGAGTGCCGCCCCTTTGTTGTGATCGATTTTGAGAAATCGAACAAATTTGGCCAGTGCATGATAATCGACAGCTTATGAAGTATATCACACATCGTACGAGAGCCTATATTGTAACTCGCACTCTTGCACTGTCCCGCAAGCCACTTTACTATCGTGTAATCCATATATTCTGCTTAGTTAATTTTAGGAGCACTTAACACTCAACTTATTGTTTTGACTGTTTTGGCAGGATTTTCACGTCCACTAATTTCTGCCTTTGTACCTCTCATAAACTGTTGTGCATTTTCGTGGGCTTATGAAGAACACCAGCCCGGCATTCCAAATATAACCTCTTACTGCTGAGGCAAACGGAGAAACGAGCTCCAGGCAGCAGTTAAGAAGGTGACCTTGACCCCGTAGTAAGAATTGCATTTGTCTGTTTTTTTCGGAAACAGAAACAAAACAAGTAAGGGTGGGTGTTCCGCGCAAGGGGTGTGGTATTCGTTAAATGCAGGTGCTATGTGAAAACACAACAGTCAAGATTAAGAACTTGTATTCATCGCGGAAGATCATGTCTGGTGTGATTACTGTTTGACCATCTGTATGATGGTAGTTAAGTGGGATGATTTTATCATCGGTGTTTGGCAAATAAGTTAATAAGTGTTCTGCCATTGGTTCGTGAGTACTGTCCCTTAATGAAGAATTTTCCCAGGCAATCCCCGGGATTAATTACTCTACCGAGATAAAGGCGTAGAACCGAATATGGACTGAGTAGATTAGATAGCTGGTTGATGGATTGGAGGCTGTGGAAGGAGACTCGGTAGCAAAGCAAGAATTTTATTCCCCTGACGTTTCAGATTTGTACTATAACGCATCGTTTGATATCATCGTGCAGCGACACTTCAACTCGGTGGAGCAATTCGCTGACCGAATTCTGAATGACGCCGTCCATCCCCTTCATAATGAGTTAATGGCTGCGAAATCCTTACGCCCCATGCGTCGACGCTTCCGCCACATCCCTTGCCGCACTTCGGCCTATCGGAATTCCATACTGCCATTTCTAGCCCGGTATCTCACCTGCAAAGATGTTGAAAAACAAAAACTAAAACTCGAGCATTCACCTTAAAGTCCTTTTTTCTTCATATATAACTATGTCCAGCTGTCCAATACCTGTTAATCTATATGGTAATCACTGTGTACTGGAGAACCGTTTTTGCTGAAAGTTTTGAAAGTTATTTTCAAAATAAAGCATTCCTCTCTCTCTCTCTCTTACCAAACAGGAGTGGTGGACGCATAAGGGAGACTGTATTTGCGAACATATGCCATTACTACTACTACTACTACTACTACTACTACTACTACTACTACTACTACTACTACTACTACTGCTACTACTACTACTACTACTGCTACTACTACTACTACTACTACTACTACTACTACTACTACTACTACTACTACTACTACTACTACTACTATTCCGTACCGTACTGGATATTGTTCAATTTTGACATAGAAGGCATTCACAGACAAATTCATACCAGTGACCAATGTTTGTTGTATGTAATTACTTACCTAATTTTTTTCACACTTGCTTTACACATTGTTTTTTTTTATGACGTTATTGTAACCAAAAGGGAGTTCAAAGGCGCTCGCCTACTTTTCCCTTAATAAATCTGATCTGATCTGATCTACTACTACTACTACTACTACTACTACTACTACTACTACTACTACTACTACTACTACTACTACTACTACTACTACTACTACTACTACTACTGCTGCTGTTTGAAAGTTTAGACTTCCCCTTACCCTCGAGGACCCAGAACAAACCTTAGCCAAAGGCTTTTCTGCCTTAAGCACATGGGAGTTTGATATGAACTCATAAATACTTATCGGACGACTAGGATGGGAGACTGAACCCTGTAAATCTGGTACTGCTTTGAGTATTTAAACTAGAAAAGTAGGACTAAAGTAGGGTCCGGATCGCTTACTTTTTACTGACAGAGATCATAGATATAAATAGATGATTATTTATTTAATTTATCTTTATTTTTATTTGGCAAGGATAATAGGCAAAGCCTTTGAAAACCCTATTGATCACATGTCAGCTCGTTAGAAATAACTGTACACGAACAAAATATTTTCACTACTAAAACAGTACTTGCTTCATTTGAGTAGCATTGTCCCAGGGAAAATATTTGTGGGGGCGTGGGGTCTTAGTTCAGATTCAGACTGTCGAGGGAAAACAGGGGACACATATAATCATCCAAGCGTTTCTTGAAGAGTTGCAGAGACGTAGCCTCCACGACTGACTGAGGGAGATCGTTCCATTTCTCCACTACCCTCTGCGTGAAAAATTCAGAACGGAGATTCAGCCTGGACATTGTTGTCCGTAACTTCATCGAGTGACCACGAAGATAGGGTGAAAGGTGCCACTGAAACATGTCCTAAAATTTAAGTCCATGCTCAAGGCCATGTATTATCTTGTGGATGAGGATAAGATCACCTCTTCGCTGCCTGTAACACAGAGGGAATAAATTAAGGCAATTCAGTCTGTCTGTGTAGGATTGGCTTTTTAGACCGTTTACGAGCTTTGTTGCACGCCGTTGTACTCGTTCGAGGCATGCTTGGTTCTTTACTAGCCATGGCCGCCATGCTTGTATGCCATATTCAAAGTGGGACCGAACAAAAGTGCCGTAAACTCTCCCAAAAATGTCTTGGTCAAAGTTAACGAAAGCCCTTTTGATTGCATGCAGCACTCCCATGGCGTTTTTTGCAGCCTTGAGGCACTTCAGTGTTGGTTTCAGGTTGTTCTGTATCCAAACCCCGAGATCCTTCTGTGAAGATTCAGCGGGGAGCCTTATATCTTTCAGGTGATATGTCCTCAGGCTCTCATTTGAATGAGAATTGGTATTGTTCTGCTGCTCGTTCATTTTGTGACGCATTCACTCAAAGTTTGGCCCGCCAATATGAGGGACCTTTATGTTTACTATTACTCTTCCTTATTTTCGGCCCCTTGATGACTTACGTTTGCTAACATATCTACTTTATTGGGCTCAGTAACAATTTCACAAACATTTTTGTTGAGGATTGCGTGTGCAGATAATTGGCTATTAACGAATCAATTTGAAAACATTGCTGTCCACTTCAGAAACCATTATGGTATGTAATACAGCATAATATTAACAGGGGCAAAACAGACAAAATAACTGTTTTAAGGGTCCCGCTTGTTCTATACAAGACTAAGCTCATGAGGCTATCCTGCCTCACAGACTAATGCAATCAATATGACCACACAAGACAAGTTCGGAAATACCAGATAAATTTGTTCAAAGACCTTAGATTTTCGATGAATTTGCCCAGGAAACCCTTCAGCTTATATTGGCCAAAAAAGCAACTAAACAAGCATGTATGCAAATTAGTTAAAAAATGAGTGTTCACCACCACGGAAGCGCTCAGACGAAAATGGCTAAGTGTTCGGTGCACACTTCACCGATATGATCTTGAGCATGTACTGGGTTTCAACCCAGGGTCATCAGTAAGATCTATTGATCCTGGCGAACACGACTCTACTTTCTCCTCTAACCACCTTATATCAGTTTCGAGACCTATACACACATTTCCATTGAGTCGTAATGAGGTTCTCTACATTTATGGAACTAATTCGCAGTGGAAGTAAGAAATCGCGAACAGAGAAGACCCCAATAAACTCTGATCTATTTCTCGACTACATTCAGTCACTGGATTAAATGCATCAAAAAACTACCTTTGGGGGGAGTTACCTGCAAACTTTATGTTGGTACCCATTTAAATCTCAATCAGTCAAAGCTTTTTGCTAATCGTTATCAGTACAGAACTCCCTATTTTCTCGACTTAGTGCCCTTATAAATAAATAAGAGGCGTCCATAAATACATTAATTTCCCCGACAGATAAAACAGGCGATAACGTGTGCAACCAAAGCTCTGGTGGAAAAAGCTTTCCAGCTGTCTCTGACGAACGCAGATTAAAACAAACATATGTCGGAGACAGTGTTTATCTCCACTAGCAACGATCTTGTTCTGTCGACTAATTGATGTTCGCCAAAATTGTGAGGCAGACTTACGGTAAATAAAAGACATTACGAGACAGACTAGTGGGTAACGGGGATATGGGTCTCCCGTACGACAGGTGGCTTTGCATTAAGTTCCAATGGGTACCTATTATCGTGTCTTAACCAAAACCAAAGGGGCTGCTTAAAAGTTACGAGCGCTTCGGATCAACAACGCCAACATTCAGTCGCTTCCATTATGTCCAAGTTGCCAACGCACCTTTCGTGCGCAAATCGACCTCGAAGAAAGTCTTCAGACGCAATCCTACAACAACCCGTCAACACCAATTTCTCCTTCCATGAACACCCCTGCCGTCACTCCTGCCTCAAACTCCACGACGAGGATCACTGCCAACACCAGTGTCCTGCCTTTCTCGAGCACCGGCACCATCCTCCCCGTCCCACCCCATGTGTCGATCACGGCGTCCAGCTGCACCAACACCACTCTTTCTCCCACTTCCCACCTACAGCGTCCCGCGATCCACTATCATCACCATTAGCACCACCACTTCCAGCGATTTGCGCTCGGTCCCAACCTGTCCTCATTGCGACTGCATATTTACCTCACTGAACGGCCTAGTCGGCCACTTACGAATCCATCGCACAGAGCCTGGCGAACCGGTGCCTGGAGCACCCACATACACGCCGCATCCGCCCCAGCTTCCCATACTGTTCACTCACATTCACTCACCGCATCTGCCTAGTAGATCGCACGCGCCTACATGAAAACCTGCGGCAAATCGTCGCAGGCCCTGCCACATCCCCACCCCGATCCCCGCCAACACGTGCACCACGCACACACCCTTCCAAAATCTCACATCAGTGACACCTCACACGTAATTGGGAGGTGTGCTTTTCGGTTCCCCTCTCCGTGCGACTCCTCTGCTGCCTCTGAGATCCGAGCGTTCTATCGCCCTGGCGCATTAAATCTCAGCGTCGCGTATGTGGTACGCGCAGACACGCCCTCTAATTCTGTCAGACACCGTGCCCATTCCCTGCACCAGACGACTGACCGGCTGCGGCCTGGCGATGGGAATAGAGAGTACGGTCAACTACTCAGCGTGTCTTCCTCGTTATAAAACAATCTGACACACTTGGGCTATCAAGATTGCTAACTGGAAGGATAACTTGGACCTCGCAGTCAGCACAATGTGTGTTTGTGGGTTGAGTGGCGGACTGGTGGACTGAGAGTCAGACAGCAATGGTTCCTCTTTAATGCGGCCTATATGGCACCGCCACTCCGTGGAATCCTAGCCGGGTGTGACGGCATGCCTGTGTGAGGGTCCGGTCGCACCAACCCCCTGCCCCATCTGCCGCCTCCGGCCGTCTTGACTCTGTCTTGTCACGGGGTACAGGTGGGGCAGGAGGAGAGAGTGTGTAAGTCTACTATCGCCATAAACTAATTCACGCGCAAGTCACCATCTGCGCTGGCACTCTCTTCTGTGGTATAAACGGTGGGCATTGTCAAAACCGACGGTCGAGCCGGAACAGTGAGACGAGCTTGCACAGCGCGTACCGCACTCTCTCTATCTCCTCATCCACCTGTCTCCGGTGTCAGGACAACCGGAGCGCAGAAGTGAGCGCAGTAGCTGGCAAAGTTATACAGTCCGTCCACTCGTGTCTCACACTACCCAGTCCCCAATGTATGCAACAGGCGTCTGTTAGCACGACTCAGACCTCACATGCGGGGCGTGCTATAAAGGCGACATTGAGAAGAAAACTCTGCAAACCAACTGTAAGTGTTCCAGTCACTACAAAATACTTTCATGAGGACCGAAATATCTCGTCAGTTGGCAGCATTCCAAGCCACGACTTTAAGCGCCTCCTTATTAATTTAGGCGCGTCAGACTTATTATGGCGTGGAGTGTGCTGATTTACTCCTGGGAATGAATGTCCTCAGTGTCTCTCTCTTCTCTCCCATGCCCCGGTCGACCGTCCAAGCCCGTAAGCCAACTGTTAGTGGAATTGAGTGCAGGGACTCAAGGTGAGCGTACCCCATGGCAGGCTTGGTGAGAATGGGAAATTTCTCTCGGGCAGCGTCATCAAACGGTGAAATGGCTTGCCTGCAGTGATTACGATGTTCTCTTCTGTAGCGACCTTTCAATATGACCTTGAGAGCCACATTCTACAGAGATAAGCGAAATAGTGTTGCTGAATGAACAACACTCATTCCTATCCACAGTAGAATACGTCCGGTTCAAGCGGCCGTTGTAATTTTTTTACATCCTTGTCATTGGTCCCATGTTGCATGTTGCCAATAAGGAACCAAAAGGCACAGATTTCGAGCGTTATCTCGCACATTTAGTCAAAAGTTTTCCAGATACTCGCCAAAAAGCGTAGCGCCGCATTTTTGAATTTCAAGGCATCTTGCTCAAGGCGCTAAGGGAGTTGGAAAAGAAGGAATTTACTTAGAGTCCATGATTTTTAGCCTGATTAGTTTCCTCTACAAAAGTAAGGTACATTTCCAAAATTTCCTAAAAAGTCTCTTTTTTAGTAGGAATTCGTTAAATAAAGGCGGAACTTGTCTTCCGGTCATTAGGCAGCTTCGGACGTATTAGCTGCCTAACTGTGGGAGCCACCAAATCGCAGCATTCAATTCAGCTATACGCAGGGAAGGAGGGAGACCGGGGGCGATGCTAGTAGATTTTTTTGATTAGAAAAACCTTGTAGGCTGCAGCTGTTACGTGCAAACTCCCTTCAGGCGACGATGCTGGAGGCTTCACAAGACACCATTATAACC